AGAGAGAGAGAGAGAGAGAGAGAGAGAGAGAGAGGACACGAAGCTAGCCAGTAGCTCTTACCTTTACCAAGGCTGAAATGGAAACCCTGTCTTCCCTGTGAGTGGAAACTAAACTTCTTCCTGTCCTCTTTGTGGCTGGAGACTAATTTCCACATGAGACCCTTTGCTTCTTCCTTATGTACCTCTCTAGTGCTGGGATTAAAGGTCTGGGCTCTTTTAGACTAACTCACTCTTGTGTAGCCAAGGGTGGTCTTAGACTCACAGAGATCCATCTGCCTTTGTCTCCTGAGTCCTGAGATATAGAAGTGCCCAACTTCTATAGCCAATGAGTGTGGCTGGCTTTGCATTCTGATCTCCAGTGGCTTTATTGGATCATAAACAATATATCACCACAGATGTCTTAACTTTAGAATGGAAGTCAAGGGACTAGAGAGATGGCTCAGAGGTTAAGAACACTAGACTGCTCTTCCAGAGGACCCAGGTTCAATTCCCAGCACCCATGTGGCAGCTCACAACTGTCTGCAAATCCAGTTTCAGGGGACCCAAAACTTCCCATGACAAAACACTAATGCACATTTAAAAAATGGGAAGAGTCAAAAAATGTGTTGAACTGGGAGAAAGGTTATGCCTTTGTTTCTATAGGAAACAAAAAACTATGGATTCCTTCACAATTAATAAAGACCAGATTTGACCAGGAGAGACCTCCTGAAAATCTTGGCTGCAGACATGACAGAAGAAACCTAGAAAAACTACAGGACAGGTGACATATATGCTGATCCCTTGACATGGGAACAGCTCTGATACTAGATGAAACTTGGTAAATCTTGTTGGCTACAGAGTCCTCATGAGTTATTATTAAGTGACATCCTTTCATATGGCATGGATTGTGGGTCCCCTTCCTCGGGAGGATCATTGGCCACTGGTCCATGGAGGAGAAGGGAGCAGAAGTAGGGAACAGGGTTCACATGGCTTGTGGGTATGACAAAAGAAGATTTCCAGGAGACAGTTTTCAGTGTTACAGCTCACCTTTATTCCAGAGCGAAGAGAAATATATAGGATGGAAACAGCAGATGGGACATCACCTAATCTGCATTTGGCGACACAGTTGTGAAAGCACAAAACCTAATTATCATATGGGCAGGAGGGGAAAAGCATCTGCAGGTATCTATGCCAAAGGTCTCACTTGAGATAAGTCAGGCATCCAGGCTTAGGGACAACTTCCAGAAAAGGTCAGGCATCCAAACCTAGAGATACTATCCAGGTAGGCAGGGAGACCTGCTGGAAAGGGAGTCCTCCATTTTGGGCTGAGCCCAGAGAGCTGTCCAGACATGGTATACTGCAACCTTAAGTACAGGATACTCCAACAATGGATGGAGATTTATATTTTGGTTTGGTTATGAAATCCAAGCAGACTTATAAAACTGACAGTTGTATTTTACCTGCTCAAACATAAAACAGAAAATCATCTTTAACTGAATTGTGCACACCACAGGATCCATATTTGTGTTAATGCAGATATGTGTGTTACTTTTAAAAGTTTATTATTTTCAGAAGGAAAGGACCAGACACCAATGAAAAAGACAAGTAGCATCTATGGCCATACAACCCTGAACATGCCCAATCTCATCTGAAAAAAGGCAAACATCCCAGATGATACAGCCTCTCAGAATGCCTCAGTTGCAGTTTCTTCAAAAATTTGCATTCAGAACAACTTCAAAGCTGCGACATGAGATGGCCCAGCCTCACAGACTACTCTAGCCAGGACTTCAGATAAGCCCTACACCTTCCCATTATACAGAGACTAGAAAACAAACAACACAGATAGCTCTCCCAGGACTTGATCATTATCCCACTTTTCTCAGGGTTCCCTAAGGATGTCATCATCCCCAGGAAACAGGAAGTAGACTAGAGAACATGACACCCACAGTCCCAAGAAGTGGGGTGGGTAGAATTTGGTGTGTTCATTTAGGGGAATTGGTTACAAGTTCTTACTGGTCATGGTCAGGAAAAAATAGGTCAGAAGGGAATAAAGGAAAAATCCAACTTCAGTGGTGAAGAAATACATCAGCTAGGGTAAGGGGAAGGATCTAAAGCAAATCAGATAGTCTACAAACAATGCAATGGATGACATTTCTGAATTCAAGCTCACAGAAAGGGGAAATGGATCGAGACCTGGCAGTAAAAGGTTATGCACCACATAAAAGCACAACAAATGAAATATTTGATATTGAGGTGTGATAAAATATTTTCTTTCAAATGAAAGATGAAAAGATAATTTTTCTAAGTAAAGGTGAGATTATCAAGGAACACCAAATTTTTTTAATCTATTAAGTCTTGAGAGAAACAGAAAAGTAGAGTACTGGATTGATGGTGGAGGCAAGACAAAGAAAGCCAAATGCATGAATTAGTTCCTCTCTGACCTTGAAGGACCTTACAATTTCAGCAACAGGCAGTTCACCTCACTAATAATACACGGAAATGAAACAGGGAGGGGACAGAATACCATGAAGAATGTAAGCCAAATTAGAAACAGCTTGTCACTATTTCCAGAGTGAAACACCATATGAAGGGTTATGTTGATCCCATCAAACTCTGAGTCCCTCTTAAGCCCTGGGCCAACTCGACTTCATATTGTACATGATCAGAAATTTATTTTTCTAAAATCAAACTATCTTAAAATTTCCTTCTTTCCATTTGTAATGTGTTTTTATTTGTTGCTGCCCTCAATTTTATAGCAACTCCTATTGCAGCACATTCATTTTTAATAATCCTTAATATGACCATCATTTTGTTAGACATTAGAGGTAGACTGTGTTTTCACCCAATTCCTCCCATAAAACTGTTTTCAGAGAGCAGTAAGTGTAGGGGAAAGGGACCAGTCAAAGAAACACACCCTGAGCAGAACCAAAGAAATGTACCCTGACCCTGAAACCAGTGCCAAAGGAACACACTTTGTCCCTGGAATCTGAGTCAGTGAAAGAAATGCACCCTTGCCCTAAAATTGGAGCCAAAAGGCTAAAAAGGACCAGAAAAAGAAACACACTTTGGCCCTGAAACCAGAGCCAAATCTGACCTTAATCCTGTGCAGAAAACTAACCAATCCTCGAGCAGAGCTCTAGCCAATCTGAGCTCAGCACTGAAATCGGACCAATCCCTATCCTGGAAAAACTTCCCTGCCCCCAAGAATCCCTATATAAACCCTGTGTATGTTCAGCTTGGCTGGTCCAGCTGCTTCCTTCCAATAAACCCCTTCGATGAGCTTTGGGTGAAGATCTTCTTTTGCATCGAAGGAACAGAGGCGACCCTGGGCAGAGCAGAGCAAGCAGGGCTGTAACACTTTTGCCCGGGGAAACCTTCCCTTTGCAGAGCAGAGTTGTTACACTCTGCTCCCTGCTCCCTGCTCTCTGCTCTCAGGGAGCAGAGCTGAACTGTAGCAACTTCTCCCGAGAAGCCTCCTGCCCAGCAAAACTGCTACACTGGGCAAACATCCCCAGCTGGAAGACCCTGTCCTGCCAGAGCCTAGCGGATACACTGGGAAGCCTTTCTCTGAGGCAGGGCTGTAAACAGCTAAGCTTACTGCAACCTGTGGTAGTCCTTGGCTCCCGAGCTCCAGGATACCTTTCCATCTGAGCTGTGTAACACTCAAACACTCAGTATTCTGTGACTCCCGAGTTCCAGTATACCTGACTCACTCCTATTCCATCCTGTTCCGCCCGAAACACTTACAGTAAGGATGTTGACTCTGTGAGTTCCAGGCCGGGCTGGTCCGACAGCCTCCAAAACAATACAGAGAAACCCTGTCTTGGAAAAAAAAAAAAAAGATGTTGAGCTAGCATGGGAGGAAATACACACAGAGAGAAAATAATTTTTTTAAGTAAAAGTTTTTCTTAGGGCCGGGCGTTGGTGGCGCACGCCTTTAATCCCAGCACTCGGGAGGCAGAGGCAGGCGGATCTCTGTGAGTTTGAGGCCAGCCTGGTCTACAGAGCGAGTTCCAGGACAGCCTCCAAAGCCACAGAGAAACCCTGTCTCGAAAAACCAAAAAAAGAGTTTTTCTTAGCCCAGAGACCTATGGTAGAACCAAACATGACTGACAAAGAAACCAATGAAATGATTAGTAATGATATTTTGCTGTATTCATAGATCAGTGACTGATCTAGTTATCATCAGAGAGGCTGCCTCTGGCAATTGACGGGAGCAGATGTAGACAGAGACCCACAGCCAGACATTAGGCAGAGAGAGAGCCCAGGTTGGAGGCCTCCGTTGGGTCCCTCCCCTTGGAGCTTCTTGCAAAGTGTTTGAAGTCCCTAGAAGACCAGATCTTTTTTTTGGGGAGGGGGGTTCTGGGGAAGAGAGGATGTTGGGTGTGTGGGAGGAATGGAGGGAAGGGAAGTTGTGGTCAGGATGTACTGTTTAAGAGCAGAATAATTTTTTTAAGTTAAAGTATTTTCCATTATTTTAGCTTTTAGTACTAAATATCTAGCTAAATTTTTATTTACATCAATAAAGTGTGAAATATTTGTGACTTTCCTGGACATCATTCAGCTCACTGCCACTAATGAAAACTGGGTTTTTAAACTAAAACTCTCAGAAGGCCGGCCTAGCCAACATCTCCTCAGGCAAGAGGGCCACATCCCACAAAGGCCCCACCCCTCACACGCAGTTCCAGGCACGCTCCACCCAGACGGCGACGTCGCCGTCGCCGAGAACGCGCTAGCCTGCTGCCGCAGCGCAAGAGCAACCCGCCAGGGGGCGCTGAGATCCCCGGCTCGCCACCGAGCAGCCGCAGTCCCCGAGGCTCGCCCAGCCCGCCGCTCCAGAAACGTCAGCACGTCTGCCCCGCCCTCCCGCAGACTGCCAGCTAGGCAGACCCTGACGCGCACGCGCGCGCGCGCACACACACACACACACACACACACACACACACACACGTCTGCCACGCGCCGCGCTACTGCGCATGCCTCCGCCGGGAGTTGTTTCCGCCCCTCCGCCGCCGTAGTTTCCCTTTCCGCCCGCCCCACCCACCCCGAGAGGTGGGACTCAAGTGGGGACATGAGGCTGTCGCTCGCCGCCGCGGTCTCCCACGGCCGCGTCTACCGCCGCCTGGGCCTCGGCCCCGAGTCTCGCATCCACCTGCTGCGGAACTTGCTCACGGGCCTAGTGCGCCACGAACGCATCGAGGCGTCATGGGCACGCGTGGACGAGATGAGGGGCTACGCGGAGAAGGTGAGAGCCGCGGCCGCGCTGGCCGTGTGTGTGCGCGCGAGGGTTAGGGCCAGGCTGGGAAACCTCTCCGCGGAAGTGAGTCCCGTCCGTCAGCCGAGCACGTTGCTCCCGCGCTGCTGCAGATGGAAGGCTGGGTTGGGGCTGCGGAGTTGGGAGCGCCCTGAATTAGCTTAGCGTGGGGTGACTGGATGAAGGTAAGACGTTAGAAGACTAAGGTGGGTGCCCCGATTCTTGCTCCGTGTTGCATTCGTGATGTTTGTTTTGTTCTCACAGCTCATCGACTATGGAAAGCTAGGAGACACCAACGAACGAGCCATGCGCATGGCTGACTTCTGGCTCACGGTGAGTGCTCCCTGCCTTGCTGGTGGGGAAGGAATCGCTAGAGGACCGGGCACCGGGTAGATGTAAGGCAGGGTATTCGCTTGTATGCCACTGTTATGGAACTACCTTAGGCGAATGTTTCTCTTATTTGAACCGGAAAAGGATGTGCACCTGCTCAACTCCCTCTAAGTGGTTCTGGGTAACTTGATACATGATTGGCTGGTGGGGAACGCCTCTGAAGACTGTTTGAACCCTACCTCGGGGAATAATCGAGAGTTAGATGCCTCTGCTGTTGTGACTGTTGTCTTCTGATTAATTCTCCCCATCTAGGAGAAGGACTTAATCCCAAAGCTGTTTAAAGTACTAGCGCCTCGGTTCCAAGGTCAGAATGGGAGCTACACAAGAATGCTGCAGATCCCGAATAGTAAGGAGCAAGATCGGGCCAAGATGGCAGTGATCGAATATAAAGGGAACTGCCTTCCTCCCCTGCCAGTGCCTCGCAGAGACAGCAACCTTACTCTCCTGAACCAGCTGCTACTAGGTCTGCAGCAGGACCTGCGCCATAACCAGGAAGCAAGTCTCGACGGCTCCCACAGGGCTCAAACACCGAAGACTTAACTGAAGCTGGAAAGTACAAGGCTCTTGTAATGTGTGAGAACTGGAAGCAGCATTGTCAAGTGGACAGTGGAAACCGGGGCCAGACCTTCCTGCCAAGTCATGGTCCTCTCTTTGCACAGTAGATAAATTTCTGATGTGGATATATGAAGTTGATTTTCTTGTCTTCCCCTAGGATTTCTGGAAAGTGAGAGGCATCCAGATGCTCAGCCACCTAAGATAGTAAATTCACAGCTTGGGTTTTGAATCTTAGGTCCAGTTTTGCTTGGCTTCTTGGTGTGGGAGGGAAGTCCTGCTATTGTTTTGTTGGGTTTTTTGGGGGGGGTGGTTTTACGAGCCAGGATTTCTCTGTATTGTTTTGGAGGCTGTCGGTCCAGCCCGGCCTCGAACTCACAGCGATCCACCTGCCTCTGCCTCCCAAGTGCTGGGATTAAAGGTGTGCGCCACCACTGCCCGGTTTGGGAAGTCCTGCTATTGTAATTCAGGCTGCATCCAAAACGTTCTGCAGTCCTCCTGTCCTGCTTCCCCAGTGCTCGGCCTTCAAGTGTTCGCCACCACACAGGGCTGGTTGCTTATCTTTTTTTATCTTTCTGAGACAGGGTTTCCTCTGTGATCCTGGCTGTCCTGAAACTAAATCAGACTGCCCTGCCTCTGCCTCCTGAATGCTGGAATTAAAAGGGCGCGTGCCACCACACCTGGCGCAGTTTGCTTATCTTAACACTTACTTAAGTGGGCCCCGTATCTCTTGATTCCAAACTAGTGGTGACTATGGTTAATATCCAGCCCAGAAAACCCACCCCTTGGGATTTTTTTTTTTTTTTTTTTTTTTTTTTTTTGGTTTTTATGAGACAGGGTTTCTCTGTATTGTTTTGGAGGCTGTTGGTCCAGCCCAGCCTCGAACTCACAGAGATCCGCCTGCCTCTGCCTCCCTAGTGCTGGGATTAAAGGCGTGCGCCTCCACTGCCCGGTGGGATTTCTTTTTGGTTTTGGGTTTTTTTTGTTGTTGTTGTTGTTCTTGTTTTTCAAAACAGGGTTTCTCTGTGTAACTTTGGAGCCTATCATGGCATTGGCTGTGTAGACCAGGCTGACATGGGACTCAGGGATCTGCCTGCCTCTGCCTCCCAAGTGCAGGGATTAAAGGTGTGTGCATCGCCACCACCCTGCCTCTTTGGTTCTTTTGGTTTTTGATTTGTTTTGGTATGAGTGCTCTATCTATATGTCTGTCTGCAGGCCAGAAGAGGGCATCAGATCCCATTATAGGTGGTTGTGAGCTACCGTGTGGTTGCTGGGAATTAAACTCTCTCCAGCCCCTTTTGTTTGGTTTTTATGATGTAAGTTATGTATTTTGATCATATTCACCACCACACATACCATTGTCTGTCTTGTTCCTTTGCACCTGTCCCCCTTCCACTTTCGTGGGTGGGTGGGTGTCTTACCAATGGCTATTCTGAAGAAAATTTCCCTCCCTTGGCAGCTGGTAGATCTACAGGAGGGGTGGGAGACACCTGAACCTCTTCCCCCTCCTTGACAGTATTTTAACAGGCTACTATGGGAGAAGTGTTTGATCCCAAGAGATTGCTTCCTGATAAGTAGCAACCTGTGTAAGGGAAGCTTTAAATAACCTGGTATCCCTAAAAGTGAACGGGGATACCGCAAGCATTGTTTTTAGGCAAGGTTACTTCCGTTTATGTGTTTCCCTCAACGTCTGAATGGGTGTTGAATGTGGACTCAAATAGATGCACCACCGCCCTGCACATAGATGGGGTGTAGGCATCTGACAGGATGTTGGCCTTCCAGATAAGTTCCTTCCTCTTGGTGGAGGGTGTGAAGAGGAAGGCTGATGCAGAGTGAAGCATTAGAAAGTTAAGCCTGCTGGGAATTTCCTGGATGCTTTTGTTGTAAAAAGTGGACCTCTGTGGGAACTCGGAAAGAGGAAATCCGGTTTCAGAATAGCTGGGTCATGAGAGATGCAAAGACCTTGTTTATCTCTACTGGGTACTATAGACATAACCCGTCCTGGCTGCCATTCTGTAGTTCGGAGGCTTGACGGGGCAGTCATGGGAAGGTGTGTGAGGTTCTCACTCCTGCCCTGAAGACTTGATGCAAAGCCTGAGGTAGGAAGGCAGCTTCAGTCACATAGCTGTTCTGGTGCAGTTTTCCCTGCAGCTGCCTAGACTAATTCACCTTAATCCCAGCAGAGCTCTCCCTCTTCCCTTAAAGTTTAACACATTGCTTTGTAAGGCTTTACCCTTTTTATGTGCATTCATCCCAGGTAGACTTGTTCTAGGAAAAGCCCTTAAAACCAAATCTTAAAGACTTAGCAATAGGTGGATTGTGAATAGGTTCCGAAAGATTTTCCTTTGAATTCCCAGAAATACATCCTTTTGGAGCTTTACTGTTTGCCTAAACTTTACTTTTTGTGAGGGAGCGGGATGCAGATGGGAACCAGAGGACAATTTTCCCAAGTCATTTCTCCCAGCCTGTGGTTCCTGGGTAGCAAAGTCAGGTCAGCAGACTTAATGGCAATTGCTTTTACCTGCTAAGCCATCTCTCTACCCCCCAGCCCCAGTCCCCAGCATCACCTTACACACTATAGATATCATGCTTTGAAAATGTTTGCAATAAATCTGGCCCTGGCCAAATGTGAAGTACCTGCCATCAAGGAGCTCAAAATGGTGTGGGACACTGTGTCTTTAATAATCTGGCCTCAAAAAGTTGACAAATCCTAGGATATGAACTAAATAATCTGCCTGTGTTAGTAAATACCTTATCTCAGCAGGTAAAATATGCCTTGAATAGACACTGCTTAAATTCCAAAGCAAAGAGAGGTCCCCCCCCATCATTTTGAAAGAAAGATTGTCCATGTTGAGTTTCAGTTCTTTACAATAAAATTGACAAAGTAATGTGCCTTACCCACCCCAAAAACAAAAAAGCAAAAACCTAAGCACATTTACTAAAACATGGGCACTATGAACCCAATACCTATTTTTTTTTTAAGCCAGTAACTATTTCCTTCTATCTTTCTAGTGGAGTCCTGTCCTACTTTATCTCCATTCACAAATATGCGATTCTCCCTAGCGGGAAGCCCTAGATAAAAAGCTGTACTGATAGGAATCTGATCATAGTTACCTTTTGGGTCTCTGGTAGCACATTTTCTATGGTACAGAATCCAGATCCCTCATGCTACCTTCTCACCAGGTATCTTGCTTGCTGTTCAACCTACAAGGAGCCCTCTAGATTTCATGCTTCAAATGCATAGAGCAGACTTGGGTGGTATCCCTGGCAAAGCTCCCTCCTTTAACCACTTTTTGGTCCCTATCACCCAGAGACTCCACTGTTAACTCCATAAATCTGTACACAAATGTTTATGGCTCCTCTAACCACCCCCATTCCTAAAATCATTTCTTTGTCAAACAAGATATATCTACAGTGTTCTGCAGTACACTGAAACTACCACATTTCATTACAGCTCCCTGTGGTGTAAGACATCAGGCTGAAGATAGCAGTGAAATGACAGATTAAAAGCTAACAAGTAGAAGTGCTCCCAAACTGCAATCCTAGTTATAACTAATTTTTTGTGTGATTATTGCCATTCGAGACTGGAATTTCTTTTAATTGCTACCAAAAGCAACCTAAACATCAAGCTTTGTACCACTAAAACAGTGTCCCTTCACCCCCTTAAAAATGTTTTGCTAGGACCCAGATGAAAAAGCATTTTGCATCAGAACACAGTGGTCAAATATGTACATAAATTAAATAGGGGCTAGAGAGATGGCTCATTAGTTAAAGAGCACTGGCTCCTCTTCCAGAGAACCCGAGTTCAATTACCAGTACCCACATGGTAGCTTAAACTGTAACTTCAGAATATCTGACACCTTCATACAGACGTAAGTGAAGACAAAACACCAATGCCCATGAAATAAAAATAAAAGATTTCTGTTCTAAAAAGGAATTAGTACATAATTTTATATCCGTACAAGACATTATCCTCTACACATATGCATCACCTTTTAACAGTACTGCTTCCAGCCAGGTGGTGGTGACCCACACCTCTAATCCCAGCACTCGGGAGAAAGAGGCAGGCAGATCTCTGAGTTCCAGACCAGCCTGCTCTACAAGAGCTAGTTCCAGGATAGGCTCCAAAGCCTCGAAAGAACACAAAACAGTACTGCTTCCAGAGCTGGGGAGATGACTCAGTTGATATAGTGCCCACCTATCAAGCATGAGGCTCCGAGTTTAGATCACAAACCACAAGAAGCCAGGAAGATGGCTCATTGGGTAAAGTTGGTTGCTATCAAGCCTGCTAACCTCCATTTGGTCCCTAGAACCCACATACTAGAAAGAAAACTGACTCCCACAACACTGACCATGCTGCAGCACACGTACAAGTAATAAAAATTTAAAAAGCCAAGTGTGGTATGTCCTTTATCCCAGTACTGGAGATACTGGGCACAGACATATAGATCGTAGAATCTCACTGGCGGTCAGCCTAGCAAAACAAATTCGAAGCTAAGGAAGAAATCCTATCTCAAAAACTATGAGGTTTACCTCTAGGCTCCACGTGCATGTGCATACATCCATGGGAACATATGCATACACACACACACACACACACACACACACATACACACACACAATGCCAGTCCCAATTCACTTTTACAACCTAGTAATGAATTACAACCTGCTTTTAAAGGACTCGGTCACCCTTTCGGTGCATTGCCTTTGCTGGATAAAATCCAGACATTACTTGACAGTCCTGCTACAGCATGGTCCAGCCACACCTCAACCCTGCCATATTCCACTCTGGCTGAGCTTTATAAAACAACTGTGCTTTGTGTGGAGACGCTAAACTACACTGTTGAGTATCCAAGACAAAAAAAAAGTTTCCTTCCTCTCCAGGGACTTAAATGCTGATAGTGATTGTCAAGAATGTAAACATATGTCTAATTAATTTCCCACACATTTCATGTTCCAGTTTCCTGGAATATTTCTAACCAAGCCACAAACAGAAAACACCTATACATTTCTACAATGGCAAAAAAAAAAAATGGAAATGATGCCTATTTTATGATATAGTCCCTGAATTCCTCAAGCAAAGGTCAATGTTACTACAGTGGTCCAAACCCTTCACATGGTCTTTTAA